CTTCTATTATATTAACAACACAATAATAAAATGAACTCAACAGTAACGATTCAAACAGCATAAAGTTTTTTGAAAAAAATTGGTATTATATTTATGATACACATTATTTTCATATAACACCGTACGCCCATGCCTATTTTATGAATGAAATTGGGCGTGTTTTGTTTACAACTGCGTTCCCCTGCCGATAGCCCGTAGCTACAGATCCGTTGGTCACACTATATTTATCATGGCAAGTAAAAAATATGAGCTGTTTCAAAGATAATTTAACACGCTTTAATATGAGCATAAATTTATTCAGGGTACTTATCGTTTATATGCGTACCAACGGGCAAACAAATAAAAGGTATTTGTGTTGTGGTGACAATAAGAATAACAAACTTGTCAAATATTGCAATTACTAACTTTGTAACCGAAATTTTCAAATTGTTCTTTTATTCTTTGATTATTAGTGTTTCGTTGTTTGATTAGTGTTTCAATTTAATGCATACATCACCGGAAAAAGCCGCCCAAGTAATCGCTTCAATCGAAAATGGACTTAAACAGAGAGCTGTAGCTCGGCAACTACATGACACACGGAGCGGTTCGAAGAGTGTGTGAACGATATGAGGAGACTCGATCCTTTCGTAGTCGACCTGGAACTGGTAGAAAGATATATACAACGAATCGTGATGATCGCTTTATTGTGTCAACGTCAATGTTAAGAAATCGGCGTCTTAATGCTATTCAGGTGCAATAACAGCTCCGTGAGATTGAAGATTGAAATGAAGATTGAAGGAGAGTAACGTGACCCCCAAAACACCAAACTGGTCCAAAACTTACCCCAGCTCATCGTCAAGCACGCCTGCAACATATGAATTGGACACTAGAACAATGGGAATCTGTTTTATTCTCAGATGAGACCAGGATATGCCTCTATGGTAGCGACCAAAGAAGAAAAGTGTATCGGAGGCCAGGTGAGCGATTCGCAGAATGCTGCATTGAGGAGCGGATTGCTTATGGAGGTGGTTCCTCCATGATCTGGGATGCAATTTCTATGACTGCGCGAACCGACCCAGTTTTCATCCGTTGGGGCGACCGTCGGCACGGGAGAGGAGGTTTAACTGGTGCTATATATATTGAGGAGATTTTAGCAGTTCATGTAGTACCTTACGTCGACTACATTGGAAACGAATTCACTTTTATGCATGCGAAGGCACGCACATCAAGAATCGTACACGATTACATTTCAGAAGTGGGATTTCGGGTTATGGAATGGCCAGCATGCCGTCCAGACTTAAACCCGACAGAATCATTATTGAAAATTTAGTTTAGTTAATTGTCCATAAATAAATAAATAAATAATAACATACCTCTTACCCCCGGTGTTTTCAGGTACGGATAGCGTGTTATAATCTGCCAGATATATTTTATTTGACGGATAGGAGAAAAACGCGTATCTTCACCTATAGATAACAGTATCTATTAGATAAATTAAACTTATCTCCCAGATATCCTATCTGGCGCCCGAACTGCCAAATAGTGCTTTATTTGTCGGATAAAAATTTGACGCATGAGCAAAGGCATGAGGAAATATTGATTTTATTTGATATTTGACAAAATTGCTTAACATAACCAAGACATTGTTATTATTGAAGATTTCGTTTATTCCAATAAATTCGATTTTAGAATATTTGGAAAAGACTTACCTATTCTGAGTATATAGGCTATAATCATTTTAGAACATATGGGGTATAATCACCAATAAACACATTGAAATGGTGCAAAAAACTATTGTTGCTAGTGCCGGACTTTATAAGGACTGTTACAAAATAAAGAGAGTCTCTGTTCTGTTAGAGCATCAGAACGAAGAGAATGCATTAAGTTAGGATAATAGTGATAAAACAGTAATTTATAAATTATTTTATTTAAATCCTTTCAATATAGCGACAAGTAACTGTTTTAGCTTTGTTTTAGATGATATGTACAAACATTTTCTAAATTATGTTTAAAATTTTCTAAAAGTCCTTTATTTTTAGAATTAGTTTTTCTAATTTATATTTCAAAAGAAAGTTTCAGTTCACATTCCGGAAAAAAAATGATTAACTTCATCTTTATTTCAGTACAAATCTTAATGAAATAAAATAAAGAAAAATGCCACCTAATATTAAAAAGTATACCGGGTGTATTCCATCGTCGAGCGGGACATAGGAAATCCCATGTAAATTTTAATGGGGTCAATTATTGACTTCTTAATTATTTTAGAGAATAATTCTATTTAGGTTTATTGAAGAGCACTAAAACCCACATTCAAAAGAATAATTTTAGATATTTTTGATTAGCCCGTTTACGAGTTATCGCCGATTTCTTTTTAAATATTTCTCCTTTCTTATGGCCCTGCATTTACTTATGAGCACCAGTGAAGGTAAAAGATAACTGTCAAATGAAGTTGTCATTTCAGAAATTTATCTATTTAGTGCTTTATTATTATTATTAAAAACTCATACCTACATCGAAAATATTAGCCATGAATTACACTACCGAAGAAAAAGTATTGATGATTAAATGGTATTATCAAGGAAATAGTTATCAAAAGGTTTCGGACATGTTTGCTGCTCTGTATCCGAATAGACCGATACCTGGAAAATCTACAATCGCAAGGAATATCCAGAGATTTGTGACCAAAGGTACCCTAATATATAACTGCAGATGTGAAGTAAGGCAGGAACAAAGAGAAGATGCAAGAAATGATACCGACTTGGAAGTTTTATTGTGCGTGGAAGAGAACGATGGAAAGATCAGCACAAGGAAACTTGAGGATGAAATAGGAATAGATCACACTAGAGTGTTTCGAATTTTGAAACGACATAAATACTATTCCTTCAAATATGAAAAGCAGCTACAAGCGCTACGAGATACGGCGGCAGGCGTTTTGTTTTGTATGATGGAAAGAGCAAACACGGATAGAGAATTTTTTAAAAAACATATGTTTCACTGACGAATGCACGTTTACCTTAAATAATGAACCCAATGTTCAAAATTATCGATATTGGAACAAAGAAAACCAACACAGGTTTGTCGAAACAAGGACGCAATATCCACAGAAAGTAAATGTTTGGGCAGGGATATTCGGACACAATATTATCGGGCCATTATTTCTTACGCGAAATTTAAATGCAGAATATTATTTGGAACTACTCGAAAATCATATTTTACCTGCTTTACATGATGCCGCTAGGGAAAATCAGGGAGTTTGGTACCAAATGGATGGCTGCCCGGCATATAGTATCCTGGCTGTTCGGGAATACGTTATTAGCATAAATCATACAGTAAATTGGCCAGCAAGGTCTCCTGATATTTCGCCAAATGATTTCTTTCTCTGGGGCCATTTAAAAAACAGGATATACAAGGATAAAAAATACCCAAATCTAGACGAGTTAAAAATGCTATTTCGGCCGAATGCAATAGAATTTCAGTTTACCAATTAGCGAATGTAAGAAGAGAATTTTATGATCGCCTGGGTTATTGTTTAGCAGTCGATGGAGGAATATTTGAACATCTTCTTAAATCCTAAAGTTCTAACAATTTAATAGTACCTAAATTAATAAGTTATTGAATATTGTAATAATATATAATTAACCTTTGTAATTGATTACTTTAATTTTACTTTAAATTCATATTAATTTGTATATAAATACATCTTTAAGATTTCCGATGTAGGAATGAGTTTTCAATAATAATAAAGCACTAAATAGGTAAATTTCTGAAATGACAACTTCATTTGACAGTTATCTTTTACCTAGACTGGTGCTCATAAGTAAATACAGGGCCATAAGAAAGGAGAAATATTTAAAAAGAAATCGGCGATAACTCGTAAACGAGCTAATCAAAAACATCTAAAGTTATTCTTTTGAATGTGGGTTTTAGTGCTCTTCAATAAACCTAAATAGAATTATTCTCTAAAATAATTGGGGAAGCCAATAATTAACCCCATTAAAATTTACATGCGATGTCCCGTCCGACGATGCAACACATGGTATACAGGGTATTTTAAAAAATACGAGCCATCTATCTTGGGGAAATTCCTCACGTAAAAATAAGATTTATTTTTCATATCAACATATGTCTGATTCTGCTTTGTTTCGTAGCTACAGGGTGCTACACAGGGTAGCTACAAAAAAAGTCAGCGGTCCACATTTTTTTTCTGAAAAATATTCTAGTTATAACCTATATACAGGTCCCTGATAAATTTATCGACACTTTTTTAGCATTAAAATGTATAACACTTCCTCAAAATTTCATTCGAATCACTAAAATACTTTGAAGAAAATTATAATAAATCGAAAGATTATTAAGACTCTAATACCCTGTAGCTACGAAACAAAGCAGAATCGGACGATATATAGATATGAAAAATAAATCTTATTTTTAGTATGAGGAATCTCCCCACGAGAGGCACATGTTTTTTGAAACACCCTGTATTTTATATTCGAAAGTTTTGAAGAAAAGTTTTTTGAAACTATCTCTAAACTTTCCTTAAACTTACTCTTGAAATATAAAAGTAGGGACTTACAGTTACTTGCCACATAAAATTTAAAATCACTATTAAGCTACCAAACAAAAAAGGAGGCTAACGCATTTTCTTTGCCCATTAAACATTATTTTTTAATAGCCACCACAATTACAATGAGAGATTCTACAGTTCTACGAAACCTGACCCATATTCTTTTTTATATAAATCACAGATTACAGTATGATAGTTGCCGCACAGTGTAAAAACATTAATAACTTGTCTTAAAAAGTTGTAGCAACCCTTAACTATATTTTTTTATATATAAAACTGGAGACTATGGCCAGAAAATGTACACAAATTTGTAATAACAGTAACGTGGTTGTATTTTTTAAGTTAATATTTATAGGTATGTTTTTATTTCTGGAAGGTTTTGTCAACTTTGTCTCAAATACAATTTTTATATCTCTTTTCTGACTGCATTATCAAAATTCGTACATTTTCAAAACACATTTCCATTACATTTAACACAACCGTATTTTTACAGTCTCATTCTTATTTTTCTTTTACTTCTGTTACTGCTAATTTGTTAAAATGTCTAAAAGTCCTTAAATTGATCATCTCAAGATGAGTCGGAGCCAGCTCAGTGTACAGCAAAGAAGAAGAATTTGCCATTGTAGAAGGTTTGGTTTTGATGAGGCGTTCACGTCCATACATTGACCTAAAATCATAAAACAATTAATTGTGAGGCATATACAGGCTGGGACATCTTATTCGTCATCTTATTCCATTTTTGGATTCCTGGGATCAAAAAAGGTAATTATTATAAGGGTTAAATATGTTTAAAATCTTTGGTGTTTAAGATATTTAAATATGCATGCTACAATAGAATATGTTATCAACACCCTGTACATTGGACTTGGACATTGGAGTTTCTTCTTCTTCTTCCTGTGCCTTGTGCTTAGCCGCACGTTGGCGATTGTCTGTACATAGTCTTCATACAATGTGGAGACTGCCGTTTTCGGCTCTTCGAAATATGGTGGCTGCGTCGCTGATGTTACACCAATCCCGTATGTTTCTTAGCCAGGAATGTTGTTTTCTTCCTGGGCCTCGCCGTCCCTCTATTTTTCATTGTAGAATCAGCTTAGGAATGTAATATTTGTCTCCTCTAAGGATATGTCCGAGGTATGAGACTTTCCTTTCTTTAACTATGTTAAGCATTTCTCGTTCATAGCCTGCAGTTCTTAAAACTTCTTCGTTGGTGGCATGTACGGTCCATGGCACACGTAAGAGTCTCCGGAGAGTCCACATTTCGAAAGCCTCGATGCGGTTCAGGGTTCTAGCCTTGAGAGACCAGGTTTCTGCGCCGTACAGTAAGATAGGCCATATGTAGCATTTTACTACCCGTAGTCTAAGTGTTTTGGTTTGGTTGTGAGCGGGAGACTGCGTGCTAATAGGAAGTTTTTAAGTTTAAAAAATGTTGACTTTGCATAATTCGTTCTAAGTTTAACTTCCTCATCGCAGTCCCATCGTTCATTGATCATGGCACCCAGATATTTAAATCGTGGAACTCGCTCTATAATACTTCCATCCACGGTCAATGCGGTGTTGATTGTAAGCTGGCGTCCTATTACCATAAGTTTGGTCTTGGCAGCGTTGATTTTAAGACCGAAACGATTTCCCATGTCCCCTATCTTATTTATTATTTGCTGGAGATCCTCTAAAGTTGGTGCTAGTATTGCCGTATCATCTGCATATCTTATATTGTTAATTGGAACTCCGTTAATCTTAATTCCTCCACTTTCTCCTTCCAGGGCCATTTGAAATATCTTTTCGACGTATATATTAAAAAGTATTGGTGACAGTATACAGCCCTGGCGGACTCCTTGACACACACTGAAGGTGTCTGTGGATAAATTTTTGTTAACTCTTATCTCCGCGGTTTGGTTCCAATATAGTTCCTGTATGATTCTAATGTCTTTGGCGTCTACTCCTATCTCGAACAGTCTGTTTAGGAGAATATGGTGTTTAACATTGTCGAAAGCCTTCTGATAATCTATGAAGCACACAAAAACATCTTGGCGTTGATAATAGCATTTCTGGATTAGTAGCTTGATTGAAAACAAAGCCTTCTGGTACCCAGCCCCTTGATGAAGCCGAACTGTATCTCTCCGCTTTTTTCTTCACATTTCGAGTATATACGAGCATGCATGACTCGAAGAAAATGTTTCAGAGCATGACTCATTAGACTTATAAGTCTGTAGTCACTACAGTCTTTTGGAGATGCCTTTTTGGGAATTGTTATAAAAGTTGATTTTAGCCAGTCGTTTGGAATTTTACCCGTATCGTATATTCGATTGAATAGATATGTGAGATGCTTTGAGTCAAATATTTTAAGAACTTCTGCATGCACGTTGTCATGACCGGAGCTTTTTCGATTTTTCATAGCTTTCATAACATGCTGAACTTCAGATTCAAGAATTTCCGGGCCCGACCAGTCTTCACAATTGAGAGGTTGTCTGTCTTCTCTTTGGTCTTCAAATAATAATTGTGCATAGCTTTTCCATGTGCTGCACAGATCTACCGGGTCTAAAATCAATTTCCCATTGTGTTTTAGGGCAGGTATTGCTTTTTTGTGATGCCAGTAATTTGTTTGAGTTTTCTATGAAAATTTACAGAGTCGTGCAGAGCATGCATGCGTCCCGCCCCTTGGCATTCTGCAGTTACCCAGTTCTCTTTAGCTTGTTGGCATTGTTGTTTAATAGTTTTATTTATTTCGGTGTATCTTTGTTGTTGTTGTTCGACGTTTGCAATTCTTCTGTCCTCCATGAGGGAGAGTTTCTCATCGGTCATCCATGGTTTGTTTTTCTTTGTTGTTGTTGGTGTCAGAAACGCGTTGGAAACAGTCAGAATGTTTTGTTTTATGTTGTTCCATATGTCATCTGGACTATCGTTAAGTCCGGGGTTGTTGGTATTACTTGCCCATAGTTCTGTTAATTCGAATTTCATTCTGTCTGCAACTGCTGGTTCCCTCAGTCTATCAATGTTATAATGTCTCTGTGTTGTTGTTCTTTTCTCCGATATTAGTGTGAGTCTAAATTGAAAGTCTGCGATCAGGGGGTTATGGTCAGAGCCGATGTCGGCACCACGCATTGGAGTTTAAAGGTAGAGAAATAAACTTTATTGAAAAATTTTATTGCTTCTTTAAATTAATACTGGGTTCCCAAAAATTTCTGATCTATTTTGAATAATTATTTTACATAAAAACTTATGTAAAATTTCAAATGATGCAACACCGTATGCTTTAAAAAAAAACAGATTAGCTCTTTCAAATTATATTAGGGTTTCATATACCTATCTAGCTCAGATTTTGTATAAAAAAAAAAACATTTTTTCAATAAAATGGCAGTCTAGATGGCTGGTGTCAACATGGCAATTTTTAGTGACACTTAGTAACTATTTTGAAAATCGACATTAGTTTATGGACATTATTATTTAGATTTATAACAATTTACTTAAATTTGCCCACAATAGTTTAATAAAAAAAGTATTCATTCTTTTATCAAGAAAAATAAAGCAGTATCTGCTGGCGGAACTGGTGGATATGTTACTAGTGATTTTATTTTATGAGGATAATTGCTTCTTGGCCTTAAGGGTTTATGCTCAAAGATATCCAAATAGGAATCTTTTTGATAAGCATTCCTTTGAAAAACTACTTGACCTATTTCACAGAGCTGGTACTGTGGTTTATAAAAAACCTTATTATTAGGCAGAAACCTGTCGTTGGAAGTGAAGAAAATGAATTTGCCGTAAATGGCTCTTTTATAGAAAAACCATGTATCTACAAGGAATAGCAAAATAAATCAAAGAACTACTTCTTTGTTTTTCTTAATAGAATAATAAATAAATATTTAATAAATATTATTTATTAAATTATTGTAGGTAAATTAAATAAAAGTAAACTGATATAAACTTAAATAAAGTACATAAACTAATTTCGATTTTGAAAATAGCTACTAACTGTCACTAAAACTTGCCATAAAGACATCAGCCTTCTTGGTTGCCATTTTATTGAACAATCGCTGCTATTAAAGACAGAGAAATAATTGCATAAGTACTCACATTCGCAATATTATAGATTTTTTAACTGACAAAAAAAATATATAAAAGTCATACCTCTGTTTGTCAAGTTGAATATTAAGTCTCCTGTTATTCCCGGCTGAATGTGTCTATTACAAGAACTAGACGTCGAAAATGATATAACGTTTGAAGCTGATTCTTTGTACATGAAGCAGTACTTTTTGGAAAGGTGCGTTCTGCTCAGTGGAGTTGTTATCAGGTAGTTCGTTCCGTTCTCTTCCCATCTTCCGTGGCATGTATATGCTAAAAATCAAAATATTTATTTACAGTTGCCAATACACAACTTCACACAATTAAAATTCATAATATGTTTTATAATTTTATCAAATTTGCGTTTTCTGTAAAAAATAGTCATCGATCAACAAGATCATTCCAACTTGAGCCTTTTTTTTCATAGGGTACATGCGAGGGATTGCCTGCGCTCTATACAGGGTGCTACACATTCGAGGTACGAGCATTGGTATCTCGGTCACTGTAATACATACGAACATGGTTAAACTCCGGCAAAGTTGCGATTTGGGATGTTCATCAAGATGCCATCAAAAAAGTTTTAAAAATTTCAAGGATAGCTGAGTTTTTTGAAAATTAATTTTATTTGTGAGATACAGAGGACAACTCAATCAATTATACAGGGTTGTTCACCACATACGACACGGAGTATTGTAGCTAAACGATGAGATTTTTACAAATTGTAAGTTTTGGGTTCGATGAAGGACTATTAGAGGTACAATTTAAAAATAATTTTACAAGATACAGAGTGTCCCAGATAAGTAAAAAATATCAAAGTTGTATTTTTTAAATGGAACACCCTGTATATTATTACATTTTTAGTTTCTACGATTAAAATAAAAGGTAAATTTGATTAAGGTTTATTATATTTAAACCTTACCGTTTTTAAATATTTTCAATTTTGTGAAATTGCAGTAAAAATTTTAAGGCTTCATTTCTCCAAGGGTATCAAAGTTTTTAATACTAAATATTTACTGAAGTTTATTTACTGATCAGTTATTGTGTTGCAATAACAAAAATAATGCTACCTTATACTTAGTGTACAGATTTATTTTAAATAATTATTAGCTTCAAACGGCAATAACTTGTTTAATTTAAATGGAACACCCTGTATATTTTACGAGAATCAAATGCACAATTTAATTGTCTATCAAATTATATTATACTATTTTTTACCTATCTCTTTAAGTTTCCGTAGAAAATGCATTTTCTTGTAATTTAGAACTTATTTGTCAATATACCCATGGACTATTGACATTTTAGATTATTTTAAAGATATACCACATTTTTAAAGAGTACAGATACTAATATTGCCGATATAATTCGTTTATTTCATTAAACTGTTTAAATATTTGTTAAAGAGGATCAATTAATATGATTCCAGTATTCAAACTACATTAACTGACTGTTTGCGTTGATTAATAACAATTGCTCCAAATACTAAAAAACTGAATTTTGTATGGGCATTAGACAGTGTGATAAAAAGTAACACCTTAAAAATGAAATTTCATTTTTCATAAATACTTATTTATAACAACAGAGACTTTAATTTGATAACTTATTATTATATTGATTTCTGACTCAAATCCACATTTATTTATAATAATTTATTAACGAACACAATTAAGTATGTAATTAATTAGTATATGGGCGGAAATAATGGTGTTATATTTAATTAATGGTATACTCTTTGATAAAGATTTAAATAGTTTTCTTTTTGCATACAAATGGGCTAGTAATATTATCGTTTTGCTAAAAACGATAATATTACTAGTCTGTACATTTTGTACATTTGCTGCTTTAAAAACAATCTAAAATGTCAATATTCCATGGATATATTGATAAATGAAGTCTAAATTATAAGAAAATGCATTTTCTACGAAAACTTGAAGGGATAGATAAAAAATGGCATAATACAATTTGATAGACAATTTAATTGTGCATCTGATTCTCCTAAATATACAGGGCATTCTATTTAAATAATTATTTTAAAATAAATTTTTAGACACTCTGTATAAGGTAGTATTATTTTATTATTGCAACACAATAACTGATCAATAAATAAACTTCATTAAATATTTAGTATTAAAAACATTGATACCCTTGGAGAAATGAAGCTTTAAAATTTTTACTGCAATTTTACAAAATTGAAAATATTTCAAAAACGGTAAGGTTTAAGTATAATAAACCTTAATCAAATTTACCTTTATTTTAATCGTAGAAACTAAAAATGCAATAATATACAGGGTGTTCCGTTTAAAAAAATACAACTTTGATATTTTTTATTCATTTGGGACACTCTGTATCTTGTAAAAATATTTTTAAATTGTAGCTCTAATAGTCCTTCAACGAACCCCAAACTTACAATTTGTAAAAATATCATCGTTTAGCCACAATACTCCGTGTCGTATGTGGTGAACAACACTGTATAAATAAAATCAATACATTTCAACATTTACTATTAATTGTAAATGTTGAAATGTATAGATTTCATTTGAAAAATTGAGTCATTTGAACATTTAACAATTAACATTTGAGTCATTTGTAAAAAGGAAATCAATACACCTCAACATTTACAACAAAGAGTACAAAATGCATTAGAAAGTATATGAAGAAGATATTTTCAAAGAGCTATAAATAAGATTGAACGAAAAATAAATTTCTGCATTAGGGAGGGTGGTAATTCTTTTCTAACATGTAGAGTACTAGAAACTAGTTTGCAGAAGTTAATTTATTTATAATAAATACTATTAATATTATGCATATTATTAGATTGTACACTGAGATTTCAACTTTATAATAAAAACAGTTAAAAATAATATCTTAAAATTGCTGACCTGGATATTATTTATTTTAATCTTTCAATTGGCTCAATTTTCTTTATTCAATATTAATTAGCGCTGATCAATATTGTTGCGATGAATATAATTAGATTAAATAATTTAAAAGAGAGAGAAAGAGATACCAATGCTCGTACCCCGAATTTGTAGCACCCTGTATAGTGAATGCTGTACATAAGCATGCAAAATGCTAAAAATGAAAATGAAAAAAAAATTAGAGAAACTACATTTTGAAAATAATACAGTGAAACTATTACTATAGCATAGTTATATTTGGTTACAGAAATTTGTTAAACTGAATATATTATTTTATAAATCACTGATACAATACTTAAAGGAGTAAATACTACGGATTATGCTATAAAGGATATTTTGAATATGGCTATAATTTCGCGAATATGAAAGCTTTTAAGATTAATCTTCGGATTGAAGCTTATATGCCTCCACTAAGACTGCTAATTAGCCTTGTATGAGAAAACCAAAGATCACTTCATTACTGCTAATTAGTATTTAGTGCTTCTTCAACTTATTCGGGATTTCTAGATATTAATGAACTTCGAGTTCAATTAGACCTTCTATCTAATACATTTCCTGAACTTCTGTTTAAACAGATAGATGCGGGGTGGCTTTGCGGAAGTAGGATTTAAACAAGGACAAACAAGTTGAATTGCTTACGAAAATTTATATGCTGTAATATGTAAATTATTGAAGCAGAGACGAAACCTTTAACTTTTAACTTAATTTTAAATAATTACCTTAAACATAAGGAAAAAAAACTTATTTTTTGGTGCTTAGGGTAGATTTTTTTTGTAGGATATAGCCAAAAACAAATTATAGTTGTGAAAATCCTCAAATATGGTAAAAATCTTTTTTCAGAGGAAACAGAAATCAAAGAAAACAAAGTCAGGGTGCCCGCACACCAAGGGATAGAAAATAGAAAGCGATGAAAAAGCAAATGATCTAGCTAGAAAAGGAGCGAACACTCCACTAACTGAACCAGAAGCGTTCTGCTTTCCAAGCGGAAACCAACTAAAAGCGGAACTGAAGAACCTGGTAGACTCCATCCCTAAACTGGAATGGGTGTCCTCCAACGGTTTCAGACACTCGAAAAAGTTCCTTGGAACTTACGACCGAGAAAAATCAAAGAGAGTCCTTGATTGATTTAACGAGATAAAGAAAGCATTGAAGAATTCAAAAAATGGAAAAGCTGCGGGGCCGGGAAACATTTTCATTGAGCTAATAAAGCAGGGACCCGATATATTATTGGAAATACTAGCTGATATCTTCAACAGATGCCTGATAAAAAATGAAAACATTCCTGAAGACTGGAACCTGGCGTACATCAGCTCTATCTTTAAGAAAGGAGTCAAAAAAAGATGTAGCAACTACAGAGGCATTAGTTTGACAAGCTCAATGGGAAGGTTGTATGGCAGGATATTAAAAGAGAGAGTAGAAGAGAGCTTTGAAGAAATAGAAGAACAAGGTGGTTTCCGCGCTGGGCGTTCTTGTACAGACAACATATTTGTGTTACAACAAATAATTGAAAAAAGGAGAGCTCGAAATTTGGACACGCATCTGGTATTTATAGATTTAGAGAAAGCCTATGACACGGTGCCTTTGAAGAAATTATTTGAAATCTTGGTTGAGGCAAATGTGAGTAAAACATATATTAATGCAATCTGGAATATGTACAAAAATTCAAAAAGTATGATCAGACAGGGGAAGTTCCTATCGGAATCCTTCCTGACATCTAAAGGACTTAGACAGGGGTGCAGTTTATCACCTACCTTATTTAAAATATATATACAGGAGGCATTGAAAAACTGGAGAAGGAAGAGTAGAGCTATGGGAATAGAGATTGACAACCACTGTCTATCGACCTTGTTCTTTGCAGACGACCAAGTTATTGTTGCAGGTTGTGAGGAGGATGCCGACTATATGTTGAGGAAACTTGATGAAGAATACGACAGATGGGGACTCAATATCAACCTCACAAAAACCGAATACCTGAAAGTAGGAGAAGAACAAACTGAAGATCCTAAACTACACATACATGAAATTAAAAGATGTAGCGAATATAAATATTTAGGAAGTATTATATCTGAAGAAGAGAACTCCAAGAAAGATATACATAGTAGAGTTCAACAAGGTAAGAAAGTAATCGGTCTTTTAAACCCTCTCCTGTGGTCAAATAAAACATCCATCCAAACAAAGATAAGGATTTACAAAGCAATCGTAGATCCAATTTTAACATACGGTGCCGAATGCTGGCAATTTACAGCAAAAGAAAGAAGGATGGTCGAGTCAGTGGAGATGGACTTTCTCAGAAGAGCATGTCGCATATCAAGGATGGAACACATTAGAAATGAGGAGATCAGGCAAAGAACAAGGTGA